GCTTCTACAGGACTGAATCCCAGGCTCTAACCCTAAAAGGGGAGGGGTCAAGACAGAAAACCGAGATGACTCCCTGTGCTCCAGTCACCCTGGCCCTGGCAGTTCTCTGAACCTGTCAGGCACAGCCCTGCCTTCCGACCTTTGGACCATCCATCTATCCCCCTGATATCCCCAGGCCCCAGCCCCCTAATCTTTGGTCAAAAGCTCTTCCTTGCCCCATAAGCCTGATCCCCACCTCCTCTACTCTTTCCAGTGTTCTCGCCGCCATGTACTATGTCCATCATTTCCTGTGCTTACTGTTCGCATCTGACTGCGCCCTGCCAAATGTGAGTTCCACAAGAACAGGGACCTCGTGTGGTTCCCTGACACATCCCAAGTACCTATGGGAGGGCAGGCACGTAGTAGGTGCTCAGTAAATATTTGTTAACTTTTTGGAAGAATTAAATGGATGAGTTTAAGCTTTTGAGACCCACCATCCCCACAGGCATGGGGGGCTTCAGGGTGAGGTGAGGTCAGGGATAGCAGGTGCATGAGTCTCCCAACCTGGCTACAACAATGACTTGGGGCCTTTCTTTCCACTGTTTGTGGGCTCTTTGGGACCACAGGGAGGCTAAATAAGAGAAGGGACTTACCTTCTTCTCGACACCAGCAGGGTAAGTGACCAGGGTGGCCGAGGAGCTATCAGAGTAAAGAGATCACTCTTAACAGGTGATGGCAGCTGTTTGGAGTGCAGTGCTCAGTGCGCTGTGGGCCACAATCCCCCCACCCCCGCACCCCAGTAAGACTTGGTTCCACTGACAGCAAGCATGGACATTAGCGCCCCTTAACGGTGTTCTCTCTCCACCTCACTTTCCCTGTCAGCCATCTTATTTGAATCTCCAAAACCAGAAACATTACCTGTTTGGAGATATCTGGAGTTCCTGATTTCTTGAGGAAAATGCAGCCTTTGAGAGTAATTTCTATGAGGAATTGAAATGAGGTCATTCCAGGAGAGGACTTTCCATTCCAGCCAGAGGGATTCCTTGGACACCCCCCAACCCATGAATACTTTTTCAGGGTTGGCCTCCTTTTGTCTGGGAGCCTTCCCACCCGCCAAGCCTTTCTTCTCCAGTCACTGGTTCATGTATTGTCACACCACGTGTGCGGGGGCCTCTGGTGGGAGCTGGGTGCCCTGGAAAGCAGGGGAGGCCAGGGCTAGGTATATGGGGGTTCAGCTTGGTGGCAGGACAGCCTTTAGGAATGAGAGTCACTTGGCCCTAGAATCACCATGCTGGAGACCAGAGGACCCCTTGGTTTTAAGGGGTGTCCATGGGCCTCCATAATTCACACCTTCATCTTATAAACTAGAAATAGGGTGTTTTGCCACCAGGTAGAGATGATCAGTTTTCTTGGCCTCAGAATCATGCTAGCTAAGACTCCAGGATCCTGTTGTATCTATCTGATACCACCCAACTCACCCACACGGGGGTGACCCTCCTGCCCCGATCTAAGGCACAACCCAATTTCAAGGTCTGTGGAAGGGGAAATCGAAATCCCAAGGGGGCTGAGAATATAGATGTTGAAACTTTGTGGGGGTGCTGTATTTGCCAAGAATTCCTCCCAGGGTGCAGGCCTCTGTGGCTGGGGTCACACTCTGTCTTGGGAAGTGGAGAAACACCTGCCTGTGAGGGCCACCGTGGACTCTATGTCTTTGAACTTCCTCCTGGGACGTACCTAGGTAAGAACGACTCAGCACGGGCATCGGTTGAGGGGCTTGGAGATAAGCCCACTAGTTTTTGAGGCCCATGGGGAACAGTAAGGGTGGGCTGAACAGGTGCTAAAGTGTTTCAGTGTTTTAGATGGGCATAGCTATCTGGCTGTGGGTGACTGAATGCTGGTGGGCCACACAGTGGTCCCCATCCTGTTACCCTGTCGTTAGCCAGAGAGTCCTGGACCCAGGCCCCTGGAGAACAAGGAGTTTCGAGTCTCACTCACCCAGGAAACTGAGGTAGAGGAGGAGTTGCTGGGCCCGAGTAGCACCACTGAGCCCAGCTGGCTGATCATGGCTGTGTGACCTTCAGGGTGGACAGTGGGAGGCTCGGGGGTGCTGATGGTCATTCCCACACTCCCTCTGGACTGATGCGAGGGCTGAATGAGGTTAAAGCAGAAAAGGCACAGTTAGGGACGCAGACTTGGAAGAATGGGAACAAGACCCTCCTAGGAGTCAGGGGTCTGAGTTTCCATCCTTGCTCTGCATCAACTCGCTGTGTGACCCTCAAAGGTCACTTACCCTCCCTGTACTTCGAGGTAGAATTTCATTCTCCTTCTCCTGGGAACACATAGCAAGGAAGAGCATAGATTTTTGGACCGGGGTCCCAGTCTACCACTTGCAAGTCGTGTGATCTGAGGCAAATAAGGCGAGGCTAACCACGGCACCTGCCCACAGAGTAGTTCTTGGATGAAGTGAGTTAACTTATGGAAAGTGCTTAGGAAAGAGGTCCTGCACCTGGTAACGCTATGTGCGTGTCAGTTGTTGTGATTATTATTATTTTATTATTGTTTACAGCTGCCGGGCATTGTAACTGTTTTTTGTTCTTCTTAGAAGGCACATGTCCTTGCCAGAGAGGGATAGGAGAGTGAAAGCAAAAATCACTCCACATGAGGAGCGGCCATGCCCCCATAATCCCTGTCATTAGCCAGAGAGCCCTGGACCTGAGGTAAAATTTCATTCTCCTTCTCCTGGGAATATATAGCAAGGAAGAGCATAGATTTTTGGACAGGGATCCCAGTCTACCATTTGCAAGTCGTGTGATCTGAGGCAAATAAGGCGAGGCTAACCACGGCACCTGCCCACAGAGTAGTTCTTGGATGAAGTGAGTTAACTTATGGAAAGTGCTTAGGAAAGAGGTCCTGCACCTGGTAACGCTATGTGCGTGTCAGTTGTTGTGATTATTATTATTTTATTATTGTTTACAGCTGCCGGGCATTGTAACTGTTTTTTGTTCTTCTTAGAAGGCACATGTCCTTGCCAGAGAGGGATAGGAGAGTGAAAGCAAAAATCACTCCACATGAGGAGCGGCCATGCCCCACAATCCCTTCTCTTCCATTTATCCCTCCTGTCAGGGTTCTGGGCACGGACATGAAATGTCCTGGCATATTTCTCTAGCTGCTGAGTCTAGAACTCAAATCGCCATGTAGGCCACCCACATGAGATTTGGCTGCCCTAACCACTGGGCCACAGAGCTGGCCTATCTGGTGTCATATTCTAAAAGGCATGGAATGTAGACTTTGCAGTTGGGGACTGGGTTCAAATCTTGGATCTGTCATTCCCTGAGCAAAGCGAGCTTTGGCATGTGAAGTCGCCTTGTTGCGTCTGTTTGCTTACCTGTAAAAGGGAGTGAGTGAAGGGCCACTGGAGGATTGCACCCACATAGGTGGAGGGGCCTGGCACAGCGGCTGCCCACTGTTACCGCGTGTGCCTTAGTAGGTCTCATTCAGGAGTGAATAATAATGACAGCCACACAGCCACGGGCACCCGGGCTAGGCAGTCAGCTTAGATACTGGAGCGTCTTATTTGCGTTACCCGTTCATCTCCACACCCAGGAAGCGGGCGCAGTGTCTTGCAGAGTCCATGGCAGGAAACGCTGGTCAAATAGAAAACGCTCCTGTGCATTTCCTGGCCCCGCCCCATCCCAGTCTTTCCTGAGGCCCTGGCCAGGGTGCTGAAGGAGAAGCCAGCAACACACCCACCTGGGGTCCAGGCTCCAACTCCCTCGGGGACAACAGCTGCATAAGGTCACCAGCCTGCAAAAAGCACAAAGTATGTGTTGGCCTTTAGAACCCAGCAGGTCCGTCCTGGGCAACTAGAGGGCTCAGGGAGGTTCGATGGGATGTGATTGTCCCCAACTGGATGCACCATGTGCACCCAGGACAGCATCAGGGTAAGAGGGGCCATTCATCAGGCTTCTCGTCAGGATTTATCTGGAAAGCTTACCTTTATTTTTTAAATGACTTTTTGGGTTTATTTTTAATTTTTATCATAGGACATTCGTGCTCACCAGAGAGAAACAGAGACAGAGAGAGAATGTGAGAAAGCACCCCCAGGGGTGATGGCTACACTGCAATCCTTTCTTCATTGTCCTCTTGGGAGACATGGTTTTCAAGCCCCAGGTCCAGAACTCAAACTACCAAGTTGGCCTTGTGGGATCCAGCCGCCTTCACTGCCACACCACCTGCTGGCCCTGTTTTAATCATTTTTTTTTCCTTCAACAATTTTATTGTGAAAATACCCACACATATGTCAAAGTTGAAAGATTGTTATCCTGAGTTGTCAGAAAAGTCATGACACGGTCTTGCATAGAAAAAATAGGTCATGACTTTTCCGACGACCCGATAGAGAAAGCTTGCGTGCTCATCACGTAGCGTCTCCCAGCAACATTTCCCTCTACTTGCTTTATCACACTTTTCTCCAACTAGCTATGCTCGGAAAAATCACAAAAACATCACATTGTAGAAAATATTACAGAAATGTGTGAAGTAAAAGTTAAAAGTCCTCCCCAACACGCCCCCTCCTTCCTTTCTCTCTGAATTCTCAGGGTGACTGCTGTTGACATTTCGGAGTACCTCCTGACAGACTTTTTCCCCCATGCATATGCAAGCATGGGGATGCTCTAACCACATAATCCTGCCTTTCGTTTGTTCTTCCCAACATCAATCAGTACCCATAGAACAACCCCATTCTTTTAAACAGCTGGGTAGTACTCCAGACAGCAGGAACAGAACCAGATTTATTTTCCCTGCTCTTATAGATGGACACCTAAGCTAACAAGTGAAGCCACAAAGAACACTCTTGCACATAAACCCTTGGCCACTGGCATGAGGATTTCTATAGACATGGAACTACAGGGTTCACTTCTAACTGTCTCAGAGCTGTCGCACCTGTGCAGGGTGAAGGGAACAGCAGGAGGTGACTAGAGACCTGGTTCTCATTCCAATCCTACCTACTGGGTGACCTTGGACACGTCACTTCCCCTAGCTGGGCCTTGGCATCCTTACATGAAAAATGGAGCAATGACAATAAATCTCTTTCAAACATGGATCTTAGGAGTTCATTTGTTTACTAAATATTTACAGATAGCTCACTGCGCATTTTTTAGGTAGTTTACTGTCCACAGTCTCTGCCCTTGTAATGGGGAAGACAGTGAACAAGCAAAGTTAAATAAATAAAGACATACGTATATGATATGCACGTGCGTACACACATACATGTATATATACCTATGTGTGTGTATATACAACTCCGCATATATAACTTTCTACACACACGTATATACATACATGTACACTAGAATGTGATCTGTGCTTTGAATGGAAAGGAATGGAGGGGGCTTAAATTAGATTTTTTTAAAGAATTATTTTATTTAACTTTATTTACTTATTTATTTTAATTTGACCAGAGAGGGATAGAGCGAGAGAGAGAGGGAAAATGAGAAA